TGAAACGGTACCCTTTGATGCTAACTAGAGGCTTAAAATCTCGTTAAAAGAGTAACTAGAGATGTTATTTTGATTACCATCAACAAGTTGCAGCTATATTTAATGTAAGGGTGGCTGCATAAGTTTCATGGCCTTGGAAACTATTGAAAAATATTTCTTTTTGCTTGGGAGATCTTCCAAAATCCTATACAATTCTTGGGGAATCTACCAAAATCCTGTGTAGATGTTGTTTTTGCCAGTTGCACTCAAACACTTCCCCAAAAATGGAATCGTATGGTTGGAGAAATCCCCAAAAATAGGCAACTTCCAATCCATCGTTAGAACCAACGAAGCTCAACTAGAACCACTGGGTAATTCATGATATCACTACCAAAAAGCTGTTAGTAGTGTCCAGAGCCACTAAAAGCTTGTCAACTCACCCAAATCTACCTTGTAGCCACTAAAGACCTTTGGCCCATTAACCCGAAAATTACAAAAATACCATTGCATCTGTATATATTATTTTTCCTTCATTTTTTCAAAGGAGTAGAGAGAACGGTTTTTCATGATTATGGCTTTCCTTTCCCATGCACAAGACTTCCATTCTTCCTCTGAACAATCCCCATCTTCAACCTCTCACCCTACACACCAAAGTCACCTAGAAATCACCATTTTCTTAATATTTTATGCACTTCCAACAATGCAAAATAATTTCCAAACTTGCAACACATTATGGCTGGGAGGCAGCATGCTCCAGTTTCAATTTCTAGGTAATTTTTCTTGAGCATTAGAAGATCAAGCTGTAAGGTTAGCATCAAAAATGGGATCAAGCATTCCATTCACAAGCCCCCAAGTAGTCATCCTTTTTTCTCCCATCACTACTTTCAAGTTTATTCTTTTTGTTCTTGAGAAAACTTTAAAAGAGGGATTGTTGTATCTTCCATTTGCAGTATGAGAGCTGTTCAATATAGAGTGAGGATATTTACTAGAGATAATAAAGGGCACATTTATTGTTACTATTATTATGTCACAATATTTTATGTATAAATGTGCTTCTCAAGTTGTAACATTTTATCCTCATGTATCTTCTGTCCTTGTTACTCTTATTATGATGGTTCACTTTCTTCCTACTCTTTTAATAGTTGTGTAATCATTTTTAGCTCTTAAAATCCCACCATTGTTGCTCAGTCCCCTTTTTCCCTACTTGGTTAGGAAATCCACAATTTCAAACACTATTGGAGATTTGTTATCGACCAACATCCTCGGGCAAAACGAGATGGCCCATGGCACGCAGCCTCTCATATGTGAAATGGGTGCTGCCAAAATGACCCTCCTCATTTTCTCAGGTGTCATCCTAGTCAATCTCCACACCATCACCAATGCTAACACATCAACCTACATCACCAACACACCTCAACAGTAGTACTCAATTACACCTTAAATATGGCATTATGTATGGATATGAAATGACCAATAATGGAAGGGCTCCAATAGACCAATAGTACTTCATTGGAAATGTTAAAAAATTAATAATTACACATCAAAACTTATCAAAAGTACCTAGATCATCATAAAAGGTGGCACTATCGTCACACAACTTATATCTAGTAGTTAGATTGTTGGGCTACTTTGGCCTTACAAATCCAAAATTCCCAAAATACCATTACCTCTATATTTTCCTTCATTTTTGGATTAGGGTTCATTTTTCACACAATTTTTCATTTTGAATCTTCATCTTTAACTTTGCAACCCACTCACTAAAATTCTTCAGACTTATTACAACTCATTTGCTCTTCATTTCTAAGCTCACATTTATGTATACACTCCCTAACAACTCCCATTCTTACAATTTTCTTACATTTCGAGCCACACAAATTATTCTTTAGACTCTCTAGACTTATAAATCATTATGACCAGAAGATTTCACATTACAACTTGAGGTTCTAGGTTATTTTTCTTGAGTATCAGAGGATCAACTAGTAATCAAGTTAGCATCAACAAACAAGATCAAGTCCTCCACCAAAAGCCCCCATAATGGTCATCCTTCCTTCTCCCACCACTACTTTCTAGTTTATTCTTCATTGTATTATGCAAGTTTGAAAAAGAATATTGTACCTTTGAACCCCAACTTGAAGGTTGCTTATTTTGGAATTAAAGTATTTATCAAATATAACAAAGGACACATTTATTACATTTATTATTATTCTATGATATATTTTATATAAATGTGCCTCTCAAGTTATACAACTTCATCTTTAGATATTCTATCCCTATTGCTCCTGTTATAACGTACATTGCCCATTCATTTTCGTTTATAGTTGTATAATCGTGGTCTTGAAACACTGTCAATGCCATTTTGCTCTCTTGGCTTGGCTGGCGAAGCTTTTTAGAGATTCTTATGTAGTTCATCTTTATCAAACAAGAGAGACGGCCTATGGCACGTAACCTCTTGCATGTTAAACAAGTGCAAGGCAAAAGGACTCCTCTCATTTCCTATAGGGGGCATCCTAACTAGCTACCACGCCATCTCTGTTGTTGACAAATCAACCCCTACCCCAACAAAGAAAAAACAAACTTTTTAATTATTTTGTCTAATTAATAATTTGGTTTCTTAAACTAATATAAATCTTTTGTATGGCAAGTTAATGTAAAAAATTAAAATATAATAATCATTTGTTGTTATTAAAGACAAAAAAATGAAATTAATTAGATAATTAGTAATCAAAAGCTGCAATAAAAAATTGAAAAATCAAAATGGATTAATTTTTAATAAAATTAAAAGATTTTAATTTGCTTACAATTTTGTAGAAAATGTAACCTAATCTTATGTCTTGGTTGAGGGGAATGGAAAGGATGGGAGGGAAGGCAAATTTTTCCCCTCCATTCCCCTCCCATTACTTCCTTTTATTTGGATAAATAACTAAATTAAAAGAAAAAAATAAAGTCAAGGAAATTTTTCGCCTACCTTTCTCTTTAATATTTTTAATAACCAAATAAAAAAAAATTTTCCCCTTCCTTTCATTCCCCTCAATTCAAATTCCAAACATACTATAAGATAACTTTTTTGAGCTCATTTGGTATAGGGGATTAATGGTATCAATTAGTGGTTTTACTCAAATCACTATAATATATGTATTTTGGTAATTTCATTTATTTCAAAACTATTACAAATTAGTTAATTAATAAAAATTTTTATATAGCAATTTGAAACTAACGAATACCAGTTAGGATTTAAATCACTAACAAATGAAAATTTTTTATTTTGATTGATAAAATTATTCATTTTAATTTTCCAATTTTTTTACCGTGGCCTTTAATTAAATTTCATCTAATTAGTTTCAACCTCATTATTCTCTTTAATAACATTAAGTGATTATTATATTTTTATATTTTATATTAACTTATCATAAAAAAATTTATATTAACTTAAAACCAAAACTTACTAATTAAACGAAATACATAAGCATTTATATTTACAGAAAATGAAAAACCAAGATTGCCAGGCAATCTTGACTTTCTGCAACCCCTTATTTTTATTTAAATATATGAAAAACTATTTTACAATCCTTATTGTATAGGATTGCAAAATATGAACCCTAGGATTAAGGGTGGATTTCTTGATATTATGGGCCTTCCCTACATTTAAGAGTCCATACTTTATAATCTAATACAATCTAGATTACAAAACAATGCACTCTTAAAAATAATTTTTTTTTTTTGATAAAAATAGAAATTAATGTGTAATTCAAATCTTTATATTATATTATATTTATTATTTTTATAAAATTAATAATGCTAATAATAAAAATATATAAAAAATATACTTAATTACTTTTAAATATATTCTTATTAGTCATTTAACGTTAAACAATAATTGTTAACTATTGTATAACCAAATAGTTATATCAACCAAAATCTATTATCTATAATTTGCTATATGCTTTGTATTATCCATCATCTATTATCTACTAACCATTATTCATTACCCATTACCTATCAAATTTTAACCATTATACCAAATAGACCATTTAACTCATTAGCATTTGAACTATAACTATTATCTACTAGTCCCAAACTCTCAAATGAAAATTTTTTATCAAATACTTAATTTATAGTAGTTTTAAAACAAATAAATTTACTGAACACTTATCATACGATGGTTTGGATAAAATCATTAACCATTACCTAAACCACTTTATGAAATGGGCCCTAAGTTTTATTTGAGATTTTAGAAAAGATTTTAAAATAATAGTTAAGTATTTATTTAAAATTTATTAAATATTTTAATAATAATTGTTATAATATAATTTGAAATATAAACTATTATATAATTAAAGTTTTCAAATCAATTTGGATTTGAAATTGCCCCGTATCAATTAAATTGAAATATAAAAGGGAAAATTGTTGGGTTTATGTTTTCTATGGGATTATTATTTGTGTAATCAGATTGTGATCTTAATAAATAGAAATTAATTATTAATAAAGATCTTATAAATCTATTAGTATTTGTATAACTACTTTTTTTTTTTTTTGTAATAGTGGAATTGGGGAAAGGAGAGGCAGAGTAGAGAACAAGCGGATCTGAACCCATTTGTATAATCACATTGAGATCTTAATAATTAAAAATTATAATTATGTATTAAAGATTTTAGAAATTTATTGAATATTTATTTAAGATTTTTTAAATTATCTTAAAAGATTTATTAAATATTTATTTGAAATTTATTAAAAATTTTAATAATTTTTAGAATATAATAAAATAATATAATTTTCTTTTATTAAAAATTAAAAAAATGCAATTCGCACTCGTGCATTTAATTTATTTTTTTATTATTTTAATAAAATTAATTAATTTAATAATAAAATGTATAAAATTTATTATTCATTGACTTTAATCACCATAGCAAATAAGACATTTGTTGAGTTTCAAAATAACAAAAAAATCAAATAAAAATCCCAACACGGTTCCCCCATATCTCTCCAAATCCGGAGAATCTCTCTAAAATGGTAATACCATCGCTTCACTTGTGGTCTACAACCATCTACCCATTATTCTTACTCTCCTGCAATTTCTGTCATATCGAAGCCCACTGTTCTGTCTTGTCTGCATCCTGACAACACCCAACCCTTGCGGCCTTGCCCAACGATATTTTTCAACTCTGGTCATCTTAGACCCTCCTTTCCTCGTTGTTTGTAAATGGAGGAAAACATGATTGACTGGTTTGAGGATGTCTCGGAGAACGCCGGTGCGGTTCAAACGGAGACGCTACGCCGGATTCTTGAGCAAAACCATGGCGCAGAGTATTTGAAGAAATGGTTAGGTGAGGAAGTCAAAATTGAAGAGATTGAAGATAGCGCATTGGAAAATCTCTACACTTCTTTGGTACCTCTGACTTCCCATGCAGATTTGGAGCCTTACATCCAGAGAATTGCAGATGGGGACACCTCCCCTGTTCTCACCCAACAAGCCATCACACTTCTATCCTTAAGGTACGGACACCCCAATCTTTTTCAATTTTCACTTTTCCCTGTTCATGTTTTTGTTTAATTTGCTCTTTGTTGCGTCATAAAGTCATGTTTTAGAATTATTAACCAAACCGATGGAAAATCTTCCTTTTCTTGTAGCTCTGGCACTACTGAAGGGAGACAGAAGTTCGTACCCTTCACTCGCCATAGTTCCCAAACAACACTTCAGATTTTTAGATTGGCAGCAGCTTATAGATCAAGGTTTTTAAATATAATCCCTCTTTATTTTTTTTAAACATTTCTCCATCATGTATCAGAGTCTTTATATTAGTAATTTTACAGGGCTTATCCCATAAAGGAAGGAGGCAGGATCTTGGAGTTTATATACAGTAGCAAACAGTTTAAGACAAAGGGAGGGCTGACAGTTGGAACAGCAACAACCCACTATTATGCGAGTGAAGAGTTCAAGATCAAGCAGGAGAAGACAAAATCCTTCACTAGCAGTCCGGAGGAAGTCATTTCCGGTGGGGATTACAAGCAGACCACTTACTGCCACCTTCTCCTCGGCCTCTTTTTCTCCAATGAGGTCGAGTTCATCACCTCCACCTTCGCCTATAGCATTGTCCAGGCCTTTGCTGCCTTCGAAGAGCTTTGGAAGGAGATATGCAAGGACATCAGGAATGGCGCACTCAGCTCAAGATTAATCACTATTCCTAAGATGAGGAAGGCCGTCCTGGATATCATATCTCCGAACCCGACTCTTGCTGCAGAAATCGAAGCCAAATGCCGGGATCTTGAAACTTTAAATTGGTATGGAGTGATCCAAAAGTTGTGGCCGAATGCCAAGTATGTGTATTCAATAATGACAGGATCCATGCAGCCGTACTTGAAAAAACTACGACATTATGCAGGACAAGTGCCACTGGTGAGTGCCGATTACGGGTCGACGGAGAGTTGGATTGGGGTAAACTTGGATCCATCATTTCCACCGGAAAATGTTACCTTCGCAGTAATACCGACTTTCTCTTACTTTGAGTTCATACCGGTTCATAGAAGGAAGCAAGATTGGAGTTCAAGCAATGATGACTTCATAGAAGATGATCCAGTGCCTCTCTGTCAAGTCAAAGTTGGACAAGAATATGAGATCGTACTCACCACTTTTACAGGTAAAGTTTCGTTTTCTTCTCAGCTTAGCCCCTACTTGTAATCTTATGGTAAATTAACTCCCAACTTCTTTATTTCCAACAAGACCACCCTTCAACTCAATATCATTGATATGCCTGAATTAGATAATGCAATTAATTAGCAATCAAAATCGATTTAAATCTTTTGGGAATAAAACAACTTATATTAAATTGCTACTTTAGTTAATGAATGACAAAAAATGGAAAAAATAACTTACTTATAACTAATAGGACTTCAACATTTTAGATGGCTAGTAAACACAATTTATATTAGGCGTTTCAATAAATTTAGGAAATGAAATTAATTTGAAAGAAAATGATTTAGAGATACCTCTTTCTGTATAACTTTATGGGTTAGTATTTAAATAATTAATTTTTTTTATTAATTTGAGATCTCTAATATGGTATATATTTACTTATTTAATAATATATTAAACTATTATAAAAAAATTATAAAATAAATTATCTCTATATCACTACTCATGTGAAACCAAAACTGATTGAATCCATTTTGAGTATGTGATCCGTTTTAGAAATAAAATTAAATTAGAATTAATTACTAATTTAATTAATGAATATATAAAATTAATCTTTAATTAATTTTAAAAATAAATCAATTAAAAAATAAAAAAATGGTATATATTAGTCTCATTTTATAGTCTCAATTCAAAAATATTATTTTTTATTAAATATTTTATAAAATATTCATTGAAATATTTTATATTCTATTCATACAAATTATATATATTAATTTTCAAAGTAATTGAATATTACATCTAATTATTTTATTGATTATATAAAAATTTAATACTGTTAAATATATATTTTTTATTATTAAATATATATTAAAAATATAATTTTTTAATTGAATAATTATATATTAAATTAATTTAAAAATTAACATATATAATTATATAAATAAATCATTTAATTCATAATTTAGTTTTTTAAAATATTTGTTAAAAATGTTTTGGACCTGGGACTTAAGGAACAAGTTGATGTATACTATTATCTAAAAAGTAAATTATTTTATAATTAATAAAATTATTTTAAAAAAAATTATTTGTTGCATAAACTAGGAGAATTCACTACTAGGCTAGAAGACGGAGGTTCAGCAATGTTTTGAAAGCACGTAGTGGAAAGTCCTCTATGTGGGGGAAAAGCACTAGTATCATGAGTCACCTCAGTGAAGGTCATGGAAAACAGGAAAAGTCTCTCGGTAATTGAAATGGTGACATTGGTGAAATTAAACATTAAGCAAGTGTGTAAATACATGTGAATTTACCTTGCTAAATGCCTGTCCTCTAGTGGTGATTACAGATGGTTCGGCTAGTGGTTCTAAGGACTAATGATACATTGACATTTTTTTTTTTTTTGAATTTTTATTTATAATTTTTATTTATCATTAAATAAATTAATACATATAATTTTGTAAATTTCAATAAAATAAAAATAATCAATCATTAAATAATATATAAAATTATATTTCTTCTTATTTGATATAGTTATTTTATTTTATTCATTTATGATTATTAAAAAAATTTATTTATTATAATAATTAAATTTTATTTTCATTTTTATTCTAATAATTAAACAAAAAAATTTAATTCATTTTTATTTTTTAAGATAAAAGTAAAATTAAAATATTAAAAA